CACTTTCTACTAGCATTATATTCAATATGAACGCATCGATTTTATCGATTAATCGGTTTACTCGATTTGGACACGAATAAATATATATACAGCCGCGTCTTTTTTACGTTTTTCCAAGGCATACAAAACTTGTTCAATTAATTAACGAGTGTTTATCGACAAGTGATATTAAATTTGCGACATTTTTTTCGCGCCCAGAAAACGGAATATACGAAGTTGTTTACGTTGTTGTCCCGTGATTCGCGTCCGCGTTTTCCACGAAGAGCATCGGGATAATGAACGATATTTCCGGAGAACTTTGCAAACCATTCCGGATCTCTTTTACCGGAACAACGAATTTTCCATGACGCAAGTTAACGCGCTCCTCTGAACCGGAAGTGGATAACGAATCTATCAAAATTGCGCAAATTCTGCTTTTAACCACCTCGACGCATCATTTTTATTCAATCATTTGTTTTGCGTAATCAATGATCAGTATATCGGGTGAGAAAATAGAAAGAGGTATAATAGTGTCGACAACGCGCGAAGAGAGATAATTAGCAGATATCGACGAATCAGAATACAGTTGTACAGCAAATAAACAGAAATTTGTGATAAACGTTTCGATCTCGTTTGCATTTAGGTTTGCAACTCAATGCTATACATTAATTTAAGCGATTAGATTAACAGAATCAATCAATTTATCTTGTTCAAGTATGCGTGACTTTACTGCAAAATATCTATACCTATATATGTGTACATTTCTCAATAAATCGACGCTGATTTAGCATGCATATTTGCACATACATCGGCGTGTAACTGTTTTTATAAAGTAATTTTTGCGCCAAAGTTAAATATATGTACGCGTTTTTACATTACTCGATATTCTATAAAGTACGTTTAATCTCTGCAAAAAGAGGATGGTATAAATTATCCGTTAAATTACCGGGTATAATACTATCGATAATATTGCCATTTTAATCGAGGATATACGTTAGTCTGGTAGCAAGAAGATAGCCGATAAATTTCAGGAGATCAATAACCGTATGGCGGCATTGATCGAGTCGTCCGTCTTGCATTAAAATCTTTTGACCTTGCACTCTCTCGACGGAGAGAAAAAAAATGCATTCACGCATACATCGCATCTCGGGGGAAGTTTTCTGTACACTCGCCCACACGGGTCACACCCATTTAATTTTGCGGTTTCTCTTCTTTCATCTTCCATCCTCGGGTTTCTTCGCCCGTCGCTGTAATCACCTCTGTCTTCCGGCTCTCTCTCTCTCTCTCTCTCTCTTCGTCCACCATCTTCCAATCCTCGACGTGATCCGCGTACTCCTGCTTTCTGCTCCTTATTATGCGTCATTTATCCTTTGCACTCTCGTCCGAGAGAGAAACGACTCGAAATGCAGAAAGAACAGAGTTGTTCTCGATCGTATTTCACTCGACTTCTCGTTACACAAGTGTCAAATGATGGGATCGTGTGCGATAAAATGCTTCGATCCTTCTCGGACGACGCAATAATACGAAACTTTTGCTGAAAATTTTAATGTTGAAATATTTTACATTTTTGTCCTTTGACATTATTTTTCTCCAACAATGTAATCTGAAATTTAAATTTGAATGCTCTTAACAGAATATATACCTATATATTTTTTATAAAAATTAGTTGTACATTAAAAGAAGTAGAAATATTTTACACTTTTGTCCTTTGACAATTTTCTTTTTAGTAAAAAAATAAAATCTGAAATTTAGATTTGAATGCCCTTAAGAAAGAGAGCATGTCTATTATATTTTTATATAAAAATCTTTAAGAATAAAAAATTAGTTGTGTATTTAAAAAAATTAAAATATTTTATACCTTTGTCTTTTGACATAATTTTTCCAGTAAAATAAAATTTGAAATTAAAATTTAAATACTCAAAAGAAAGTAGGATCTATTTTTTTCAGAAAAAATTTTTTTAAAAATCGTATTATCTACGTAAGATTTTTCTACATTGTTTAGAAAATGCTTTGTCAGCAACGTGTGTGTGTGTGTGGATCGAGAAGATCGAGTGGTTATCACGCATTCTCGTTTAGTATACAAGTCGCGTATACGAACGGACGTTGACCACAACAAATGTAATTTTCCTCCGCCGAATTGCAATTTTGTACCGGGTCAATTTTACAGAATAGTACGACATTGTAATCAAAGTATGAATTATTCAACGTTTTTTTTTTTTTGCAATATCTTAAGGTCGGATCTCGAGAGAAAACTTAAAGGGAGATGTTATAAAATGCAACAACATGGAAATAAAATAGGCGGTGCACATGATAGATAGCAACGATCGCGATAAATTATATATTACAAATTGCCAGGCTTACTTCAAAGAGACGGCAAGCTATATGGTTCAAATATTTTGTCACGTCATTTCAACCCATCCGACTTTATCTTACTGCCTTTTTCAACGCGAAAAAGAATCGTTATACACAAAAGAAACGGGCTGTGCAATCTGTCGTGTCAGCCTGTTCGTGTAAGGGAAATACTTGGCGTTCCTATGCATTCTTACATAGAATGCGACTCGCGTGTACAAACGAGAGAATCGTAGAAAGAATAGAAGGAGGAAAAGCAGGAGGAAGACAGAGGGTGCGATGCATTAGAGCGAAGGGAGACCTTCGCATTTTTCTTGGCAACGTAAAACGACATTATGTGTCAACCCGCAAGGTTGACTATAGTGGATAAGAAGAGAGAAAGAAGAAAAGAAAGAGAGGTCATGGTACTCGTTCCAATTTAAAAATTTACCGAGATTTGTCACATAATTTCCAAGACGATGTCGACCTCGAAGAAAAAGTCGCGCTGTCATTTCTTCTTCTGTTAAACGTCTAAAAAAATCCACGAAGCTTACGTTTATTAAAAAAAAAAAAAAAATTGAAGCAATTTTGATTCTCGTTGAAATTGCATCATCGCTCACACACAAGCGGCTCGCATATAGCGAAAAATAGGTAGACAGTGCGGTCCCTTATGAGATTCCCCCTGGTATCCCTCATCCCCTGAATCAAAATCTATGGACGCCCTTGCTTGGACTCGCGCCAACGCGCGCGCTGCTTTCACCTCGAACCGTAGAGCACGAAGTTACTCTCCCGGTGCTCGATCAACGTCGCCGATCATCCTTTGCTCGCGCGATATGCACACATGCGTCTGACAGGTCCATCGATTGCACGATTATCGAATTACATTCAATTGCTCGGTACCTTTGCCTTTGCATTCGCGACGCGACAAGCGGAACATGGAACTTCGTTTCGCCTCCTGAAATTCTAATGATATTAAAGTTAACTCTCCTGACGCTCTTCTTCGCAAAACCGTGTCTGCCGAAGATGAGAATCGTGCTTCCAAGAAAGCGTTTTCCGCGCGCAATTACTGCGCGAACCAAGTTACTCGAAACGAGATACCGTTTGATTCTTCTTTCTTTTTTTTTTTTTTTCTTTAATTCACCGACATGCGAATTTAATGGGTAATAATTAAATGGTGAATGTTTTGTCGCGCTGACAAATTCGTGACTTACGGAAGTTTATACGTAAATTTCTTGGATAATTAAAAGGAGGATTTTTGTGGCAATAAAAGCCTGATATTAATTAAGGTTTGTATATTTTATTGTAAATAAAGAATTATTGCAAATGTAGAGTCGTCAAAAAGAAAATTTCAGTCCCTTTTTTGGATCATGCAGCGATATTAAACAGTATGATTTTCCAATACATTTACATAGAATAGAAAAAATAAAATAAAATAGTCATAGAACAAAATAGATAATTATAGATATTAATGTAATTTCGAGTTGATATTTTTTTCGCTTGTTAAGAAATTTAATGAACATGATTACAAAAATGTACGAATAGAATATAACAAAAAAGTATAATTTCCCAGAATGCTAATGCATTTTATTGAAGAAAAATATTCGTGCGCGATCTTTCTCCCTCTTCTCTTCCTTCTTGTTGATCTGATGGCAATTCTGGGCTTGCCCTGATGTTCTAACAAAGTTTACGTCGAGCCGGAACGAAGAAAAGCTTTAAGTTCATCCAGTGTCCAAGCGAGTATAAACAAGCAAAACTCTGACGTTGAAACTGAAGCTCGTTGATTACTTTCCTGGGCGGTAGACAGTCGAAAACTTGTTGATTACTTACTTAAACGCGCTTCCTTAATCGTAAAATATTTCTTTCTTTTTTTCTTTCCGAGTTGCTACTGAAGTAAGCAACTCTTTCTCGCGTAAGTTTTTTCCTGTATCACTAAATAACATCCTACACTTTTTTAATTACGATGAATATGTGCATGTATTATACTTATCGACCTAGGTATACATACTTTTGCTCTTATTGTTAGACATATATTTAATGTAAAAGATGCGGGTTTATTTTCATACTGTGTTTTTATATTTTATCTCGCGATTTTTTTCATCTAACAGGGTATCTATGGTAAGAGAAATTGGGAAAATCCGACATTGTCAGGTAATTTTATAAATCTGGATTTTTTTCACATTATTCTACATTTGTTTCAATAATTTGAAATTTTTGATTGAATAAATATAAACTTTTCCTTGACAGCACGCTAATTTTCTGTGTTGTTAAAAATCGATCCATCTACACAGCGTGTTCGTTAATTTATATTTTCATCGTCGTGTTATTTGATTTCAATGTGTTTGATAGAAACAAAACTAAAAAGTTTGATATATAAATAAAAAAGATGATTATTTAAATAGTTTATAGTGACATGTTTGTTTCGATTATCGTACATAATGCAGAGTGTATAATTAACAAAAATATCTCAAGGATTTCATGATTTAACATTTAATTGATTTATCATATAGATATATGCAAATTATATAAATAATACTAAAAAGTTAGGGAAAAAATTAATTTTTGGTCTTGAAAAATTTGAAAAAAAATCGGGAAATTTTTTTCACTGACAATGGAGTCTGCGGACACCCTGTCTATTAAATCTGATTGTTAGTGGGAATTTCTCTGACCTGGTCGTGTTATTTATTATGTTACAGCAACGGCGACGAGGTGACAACGAGAACGGTGACGCACGCAGCCAAAAATTGACCGAAGATGGCCAAGAGCGCTGAGAGATTACCCGGCACTTCCACTAGACTTAGGACCAGGGACGACGGTTGCTGTTCCGTGAATTTCCTGAAATACGTTCTTCATATCTATAACGTCGTGCTGTTTGTGAGTACCGATCATTTATTTCGACATCAGCGCGCGAGACAGAAAAGCGCGGTGATTCAGTTTTATTTCGAAACGTGTTTACGAGCGCGCGCGTTAACATAAATGAGAAGGACCGTGAAATTCGCTGTTTTGCTTCACGAGAGAAGTCCGTCTCTCATCGCTTGACGCGATTTCCCCGCTATTTTGATTAAAGTCCTCGCTTTACGATTTTGATTCGTGTAGTCGCGGACTTTCCGCCTGCGAGAGGAAAACAATGAAATTTATTTCTCTCTCCGCTTTCCTTTCAATCGCTTATTGAAGCTTAACATTTCTTATGAAATAAAAATATATATATATTAAATTATGAAACACTGATGTTGATGATTCTCATAAAATTTTGACAATTTGTTATACTGTAAAAGTTCTCACAAGAGGCATCGAATATTTAAGTATGCAAACTTAAAAAGTAATATAATTTTTTACAAATTTAACTCTCGACCTCGAATATATAAAATGCATAATTAAATTTCAATCGATAAAATTCAATTTGTTTAAAGTTAAAAGAAATAATTCTTTTATATACGTATATTTATGTACCTTGTCTTTGATATTCGATATATTAATTAGACTGTTGAAAAACGCCACGCGTCGGAATGCTTAAGATCTAAGGAATGTGTCTCCCAAAGGAAATTCGATAACGGTAAAACACCGCTATAACGAACGCTGAAGTGAAACAAGGCGAAAAATGCGCCATCGTCCGGCAATTATATTCTCGCCTCGCTTCCGTTTTCGCAATTTATGGGAGATTAAACCGGCAATGCACACTTTACGTAGAAACGAGCCGTCCTCGATCGTTGATTTGCAGGATGTCTGGCGTGCCTTTAAACCATAGTTAATTTGCTTTTAATTGTCATCGCGATTCTTACGCAGCTGTTTTTAATGCGAATTAAATTAAAACAGGCGGAACAAATCGTTGCACAAATGAGCCACGCAGGACTCTTTTCGTATACAGATGCTTCTTTGATCGATATCTTACACAAGAATTTTTATCGGAGAGAAAAGATCGCGAAGAGAGAAGGGGGAAAGATTGAAGTATAACGCGAGAAATATATAATCTCTCGAATCGCGTGCATAGAATATAACAAAGTACGCGCCACGAATAATTGGAGCGCGGAAGAGCCGGATATTGCGCCGGAAGAATAGGCATCGTAGATTAATTGAAAGAGAAGCTTCACGCGCGTACGTGATTAATTAAATAATAATTTTATGCGAACACCGTCATATAATATGTTCCACTTTGCGGAACGTACATTTTGACAAATTACCATTAATCAATTAATAACACGGTACTATCAAATCAAACTGTTATGATAATTATTCATTATTAATTTCCTTTAGTGTATTATGATAGAGGATGTCACTGGTCACTACTGTATCATTTATGTAAACTTAAAGCACCCGACTTTTAAAAAATTAATATTTTAATAGAGAAAATGATAGCATTTTATTGATAGTTTTATCAATTAAAAAATTTAAAAAAATTTTAAATAACTAGCACCCGACATTGAGATATTTTAAATCCGCTTGCGCAGTCTTTTTTAGAATCGTTTATAGTACTTTTCGTTTTGTTCGTAGTTGCACGGTTTAGAAATTGCAATTATTTAAAAAAATTGTCAAAAGTAATTTTTGTCAATTTTAAATATTTTTCTAATTGCTTTTTCCATCAATAATATAAATCTCAATTGCAATTGCTACAAACAACTGCAAACGAGTTTGAATTATCTAGAAAAAGCAGATTGACAAATGTCACTCTTCGAATTTGAAATATCTTAAAGTCGGATGCTGGTCATTTTTTAATTTTTTAAATAATACAACTACAAACAATTACAAACAAAATGCTATTATCATTTTCCGTATTAAAAAATTAATTAATAAAAAATTAGGTGTTAAGATTCACTTAGGTCACTATATCGGTATCAATCGTTTGTTTTCATTGTATTATTTTTTTTCAAATTTGAAGATTGGTTGGATTACTTTGAGGGTTAAATTAATTTTATTATATTAATATACCATATATAACTAATAACTTTTGCAGCTTATATATTTCAAAAATTGCGTTTTCGGGATTATTGCGGGATTATGCAAAAGAGGTTCGCTTTTACGAGAGAAAGAGTGTCTTGTTTATCGAAAAATGCGACTGTCTCGTTCATATATCGAGTGATTCCCTCCTTTCTCGTCTCCTTTTCTTTCTCTTTCATTCTCAATATTACAAAAAGGCATGGCGCCAACATCGATGCTCGCGTGGCGTGATACATGCCGTAAAATGCTAATAAAGTTCTCGTCGTAAAGTGCAGACACCTTGTACGTTGTCTGGGATATAAGCGCGAGCGACGAAAGGCGCAGCACAGAGACAAAGTGTTTTAAAGCGCGGACGAGAGAAGAAGAAAGACGAGAAAAAAGGAGCGAAATGTCAGGGGGAAAAATCGATCGATACGTCCGCACTTATCCGGCCTTATAATTTCGATCTTAAACGTCGGCGCCTTGTTAAAAAGCGTGATGCCGATGTCCATGATTTCGCGATTAAATAAAGGAGTTCTCGAGATCGAAGGAGACGAGATTGCAGCGTGCATCGTCTATTTTTTTTTTTTGTCTCAGATTTTATTCACCGAGGTCAGTTTACTTTCTGATTATCTGCACCGCCGAATCTTGATGGTTGAAGAGCCGAAACTTTTAATGAAGATCATTATCTTCTAATTAGATGTAATGGGATAAGTTTCGCATTGCTCTGAAAAAAAAGGGAAATGTAATGATTTAACTTTTTACATGATATCACTATTAATATGAACTTAGTGATTTTGTTTCTCAAAATGATTACTTAAATATAAAAATTACATATATATCAGATATTTTTATGCCTTTGAAAGCAGGTTCGCGAACTTTATTTCGCATTAAATATATCAAATTAAATAATAATTCATAATTATATATCTTAATTGAGTTCTATCTCGCGCGAATCTCAGATTATCAACGTACATTATGCAATGACGTAAGTCGTGCTAAATTCGATGCCTTAAACACCTCTGTGTGTTCTGTCGTAATAAGGCTCGATGATGCAACAATAACCTGTGAACAATACCGGTGCAACAATAGTGGTCGCTAACACGTGCGTTTACGCCCAATGATCGCATTCAGAGAAGTGCAATAGCTACTATATAGACCAAAGTAAATTCAATGTTACCACCGAGTGGGTAATTGCAGAAATCCTTACGTAGATCTAATCGAGACTGCGCGAGGAACGATTTTTTCCTTAATTTAATGGGGCGGAAATTTAATCGCGCATATATATATATACATATATATTTTGCAGAGATATGAACTAGATGGTAGCACATTTTTCCGGAGAAAGGAGATGCTGCTGAAAATCTTGCCGTAATGATATTACTTGCGCATTATATAATTAAGCTCATATAGACGTAATCAAATGATTTTACTGTTTGCTTTTATAATGTAATCATTTTACTGCCGTAACGAGATAGACAGTGACGTCAACGCGGTGATATTACGATCGGTAATACGAAGAATTTCAATTACACACGCTTTAATTAAATTAATTCCGCATGTACGTTGAAGAATCCCAACGTATAATAACATCTGAATTAGAATTCTCGCGAATAGAGAGACGAGCTGACTTTTTGCATAATTTTTTTTCCTCGGGATATTATATGTAGTAAAGAGGTAATGAAGTAATTACTGCAGGTTTTTCACGATTTCATTCCATTAGCGAGTAGTAATTACGTTACGTACGAAAAGTGACTAGCTGCACTCTCTCTCTCTCTCTCTCTCTCTCTCTTTATTCTCTCTCTTCCTCTATATGTCTTTGAACGCATACCGGTTAATAAATCGTCGGTAGAATGATCTAATTAATCAAGAAAAGTCGGAAAGTCTTTGGACTTAAAAATAAGACACACAACTTGGAGCCTGAAGTTTTTCAATGAAGCATAGGAAACTTTTAATGAGGTATAGGAAAAATGACATTCACGCAAATTTGCGTTCGGCAAAATTTTGCTGTTTAATAAAATAAAATTTCACGCGACGATAAATTACAGTGATATCTCGTTTTTCGTCTTATGTCGGACAACAATGCGTTCTCCGATGATTTTTATTAACATTCTTTCAAGTAAACGGAATATATTTCATTTGCAAAATACCTTTTCATTCACTCTCCTCAAATCTGAACACGAGTAACACAACACTCTCGACGGTATATGTACACGTGGGAATTCTTGCAGGGGATTGGGATTCCCAGAACAGCTTAATTGTAATAATTAACTATATTGCTAACAGAGTTGCTAATTACTGACTAATAAGGACGTATACTCAAATGAGGTATTCGCTTGGCTTTCTTGTAACAATTTCTCTCGCTCGACCTTAATGTCGCGCTGTAATTTGATCGACAGCTTTTAGAGAAATGCGAGTGACGAGTTTTTTCATCCAATTAAACGCAATAAAATATATTCAAGACATGCGCATCCGCGCGTATTCAATTCGAATTATTAATAAATCTCTGCTTTCATATTATGAAATATACATACATCACTCGCGATGTTTATTAATTTTCATCATGTATAGTATATTACATAAGTTTTCATAAATTATTTGTGTTATAATTTGATTAAAAATGTCGCAATGCACGCACATGGATAATTAATCTCATTGCAGAAAAAAAATAGTCGACGAAGCAAATACAAAATAATAAAATATTCTCTAAAGTTTAAAATATAGCTTAGGATAGATCAGTTAAGTTAGTTTGATATAATTTTAATCTCAGCATCCAATCTTAACTTTAAATTTAATTTCATTTATATACACGTAAGTATTTGTACTCACACACAAATTTAAATTTTCAAAATTTTTCCAATTTTCAATTCTTAATTCAATCCAATTCATTTCAATTTTGAATTACAATTTTTAAGTGCAAGGCTAATTCGTTTTATCTGATTTATATTTGAGTTATTTGGCGT